TTACCAATTTCCACGTTCGGATGGACACACTGGCCCACGTATTGTACTATCCCATGAAACCATTGGTTACTACGCGTTCTATGGAATACTTGCGTTTCAGAGAATTGCCAGCCGGAATTAATTCCATTGTAGCCATTCTCTGTTATACCGGTTACAATCAGGAAGATTCTGTCATTTTGAATGCTTCTGCTGTCGAAAGAGGATACTTCCGATCTGTGTTTTACCGTTCGTACAAAGATTCGGAAAATAAACGCATCGGGGATCAGGAAGAAAACTTTGAAAAACCTAATCGGCAAACGTGCCAGGGCATGCGAAATGCCCATTATGACAAATTGGATGATGATGGTATTATTGCCCCCGGCATTCGTGTGTCAGGTGATGATGTGGTAATCGGCAAGACAATGACTTTACCCGAAAATGATGACGAACTTGACAGCACAACAAAACGCTTCACCAAACGAGATGCTTCAACATTCTTGCGTAACTCTGAAACTGGTATTGTCGATCAGGTCATGTTAACGTTGAACAGCGAAGGTTATAAGTTTTGTAAGATTCGTGTGAGATCGGTACGTATTCCACAGATTGGAGATAAGTTTGCTTCGCGTCACGGTCAAAAGGGTACCTGTGGTATTCAGTATCGCCAGGAGGATATGCCATTTACATGTGAAGGTCTAGCTCCCGACATTATTATTAATCCCCACGCCATTCCATCTCGTATGACAATTGGCCATTTAATTGAATGTCTCCAAGGCAAACTTGGTTCGAACAAAGGCGAGATTGGCGATGCTACTCCTTTTAATGATGCTGTCAACGTACAAAAAATTTCCACTTTCCTCCAAGAGTATGGCTATCATTTGCGTGGCAACGAAGTCATGTATAATGGTCACACAGGTCGCAAGATTAATGCTCAGGTCTTCTTGGGTCCGACATACTATCAACGTCTTAAGCATATGGTGGACGACAAGATTCACTCTCGAGCCAGAGGTCCAGTCCAGATTTTAGTGCGACAACCTATGGAAGGCAGAGCTCGTGATGGTGGTTTGCGTTTCGGTGAGATGGAACGTGATTGTCAAATATCGCACGGTGCTGCACAGTTCTTGAGAGAACGTCTATTCGAAGTCTCTGATCCTTATCGTATTCATGTGTGCAATTTCTGTGGCCTAATTGCTATAGCCAATTTGCGCAACAACACCTTTGAATGCAAAGGTTGCAAGAATAAAACCCAAATCTCTCAAGTTCGTTTGCCCTATGCAGCAAAATTATTGTTCCAAGAACTAATGTCCATGAATATTGCGCCACGTTTGATGGTGGTTTAAAAAGGACAACAAATAAATATTTTATAAAGAATGATGGAGTTATTGTGACATGCATAATTAGCATTTTAATATCAATTATTCAAGTAGATGTATAAGTAATGATGATCGACTTTGTATATCATAATTTATGACTGTGTTTAATAAATTTTTTTAAAATATAGTTCGAGTTGTTATTTACTTTCTTTATTTAATTGATAAACGTGAAAAGCTTTTTTCCAGTATGATAAATAAAGGTGGAAATGTAATATTGTTGTTATTTTTGTAACCCAATGTTGGAAACCGTAATTGCAGAAAATAAAATTACATAAATTGCAAAACAAATTCGAAATTGTCTCCTGTCCGAAAAGGATGATATCCAAACAAATCGCGTAAAAATGTGATATATTAACATTTTCCTTTTAACTTTTGAAATGTACAATAGTAATGTTTTATTTTGCATGATTTTTTTTTTTTTCATTTTCACTTACTTTTTTCTAATGTACATTTGTAGTGTATTTTTTATATTTTATTTTTGAATTCGAATATTAATACCAATTTATTTAATTGACCTGATTTCTTAAGAACTGAAATTGATGTCGGGTTACATGGAAGTGTAGTACCGAATTATGTGGTGGCGAAACGGAATAGATTATATCGAAATAGTTTAACACGGTCACACCAAAGTTAAAAGATAATTACATTTTCAAAATCGCTAAAAAATCACGAAAGAAGAGATCTCATTGCAAAAAATCTCAAATAGGGAAAAAAATCGAAAAAAAAATCAATGGAATCGAATTTTAAAATAATAGTACATTTTATTGACAAACTTTGTAAGGATCTTTAAACATGTAAAAATGTAAAAAATCAGCGAACAAGTTGGTGATTTTTTCAATTTGTTATTCTTTATTTGTCAATTCTTTTCAATTTGTATTATCACCTTGGGGTAGGAAACCATCATACAGATAATTGCTCCATAGGAATATATTTAAGTAAAGTCCCCACATTGGAGTATCCCCAAGTCCACTTTCCCATCTAATGTGTGGTCAGAAAAGAAAATTTTGTATTCTTTTGAATTTGTTACCCCCAAGAGAATATTGGTTGGGAACGTAAATTTGGGATGTACATCTATTTGAAATAAATTGTGAAAACATGAACAAATTACAAATATAAGAAAGTAGCACGGGACCGAATATTTGTTGAATCGTCATTGAATTATACTATGATGAAAAATATGGACCAACTTACAATTTAAATGGCAAATAAAATTAATTCCCATCTTACGGTAATGGGTGTAAAATAGCTACATTTTTGATTTGGCCTCTATTTGTCATATTGGATTATATGGGGTAGAAGAAAGTTTTCAATGTAGGGCGATGTTTCGGAGTAGTGCCCATTTAAAGGTACCTCCTGACTTTACCATATTTCAAAGGATTTGGCTAAATATTTATATTTGGAGTGGAAATCTTATACAAAAAATTTCAACATATCTACAAATTTTAGAATTTTCTCCATGCAATAGTACCCCTTCAAATCCACCTTTTGGCGGACAAACAGACCAACATGGTTAGGGGTACTTATGAGGACTCTAATGCAAAATCTGAGGTGCTAATGGGTTTAAAAAAGTAATTAAATTTGGCTATTCTTAAATATGTATAATAGACAAAAACTACGGGCCGGCAACGCGGACCGTGCCAGCTAGTATGATTATAATTTAGAGTCAAGAAGCTCGATACACCAAATTTAACTCTATTTGACTCAAAATATTTACCTTTTATGGGGTCAAGTAGTGGCCGATCGGTCGCACTAGATATATTGTTGGTTGTTGGAAGTATAACATAGTACGAATTTAAAGCAAATCGGTGAAATATTTTGTATTTTATGACATTTAGAATTATTCAAAATGTTGATCATGTGTGGGGTGAGTAACGTATGAATTGGACTGATATACTACATATTCAAACTAGAGGGTGAGATGAAAAAACTGCAACCAAATTCAGACTGCTGTCATTTCCAAACCACTCTTCCGTCAGCTGTTAAAATTATTTCAGTGACAGCTCATTATATTATTTACAAACGTACAAAAGCATTTTGGTGATAATTTTGCAGAAAAAATGTTATCCGGGCGTGATAGTGTTATTTCTTTAAATTTGGCTGGAAAACCACAAGTGGCTATCTATGTTAGAGCACTCCAGCATTTAAATGTGAATAAATCTTTTGTTTCTCGTACCATCGCTCGTTACCGTGAAACTTGTAGCGTAGCCCCATGTCAATGGACAAACAAAATGGTCGTGTTTACTTGCCCAAGAGGTCAGCTGAAGATGTGCACCTTCGGTTGGCCACCAGAACTCAAGCGCTGGCCATGGTGATGGTGTTGGCCGCCATAAAAGCTGATGGTCGCTCTCCCCTCGTATTAATCGAGCGTGGCATCAGAATAAATGCCGAATATTGTCACGAAAATATTCTGGAGGGTGTATTAAAGCCATGGGCACGCAAACACTTTGGCCGCTGACCTTGGACATTTCTCGCTTCATTTCCAGCGCACAATAACCACCAAAATCTACAGATACCAACCGTTAGACTACTGTGTCTGGAGTATTTTTGAAAGCAAGGTTGGCACTAAAAAATACCAAAGTGTCGATCACCTCAAGCAAGCGCTTCGCCGGGAATTGGCCAAAATACCGCAGAGCAACATTCAGGCAGCGTGTGACGGTTTCATTGGCCGTTTGAAGGCCATAATTCGTACCAAAGGTGACCAATTCGAACAAATCTAAAATTATTCTAAAACTTGATGCTATTTCCGACATTTTTGCTTTCATTCAATAAAATTTAAAAAAAAATAAAAATGATCTTATTTGACTTTGTTGCAGTTTTTTTATCTCACCCTGTATATCTTAGAATAGAAAATTAAAAATTACTTTATTTTTTCGCATTTTATAAAGGTTATGATTATTTAGCAATTTGACCCGTTGTGGGAGATGTATCAGAAGTGGTTTGCTCATCTCCGAACACGAGAGTTATCGTGCGCATCAGCAAGAAGGCCGGACGCCGTTTAAACGACTCAAAATGCCCTAAAACGGACGTTTCGGCCGTATCAATATTATATATGACCTCTGTTGTCATATGTACAAAACTTACCAAATGATTTCTTCTACAGTTATGGTGCACACTAGCCAGAAAGGCAGGCTTGCGTACATCTGTAGATCAACTGGACATCTCACAATGAAACACGTTTTTTCGAATCACACTGTGATGTGATGGAGCAACTAAAGCAACAAATAAGTCAACCTGTCTATTACTGCGATTTTCATGCGTCGAAATGCAGCGGACTTGCTGATGTCTGCATCTTCATATTTCACGAGAACTCTTGCACTACACTTTCTTTAAATCCAATTCCAGTAATTTCATTAATTTCTAGGTTAAATTAAAACACTATTTTCGATTCTTAAAAACATGGCTATCTTTTCAAAAACGACAAAAGTATTTGATTAGATACGAAAACTATAGATTTAACATATTAAATATACTTTTAAAATAAGACGCGAAAAAAGGTTTAGAAAAGTAAAATGAAATAACGAATAAAGAATAGTACGATATGGCAAGTCTATAGCGAAAGGCGAAATAAAAACAGAATAAAGCGAAAAACATGTTTTCGCTTCGTCGTAACAGCTGATATATCTGTGTCATCATTTTAATATACATAGCACATATGTTATAAAGAAGAAGAATTCGTTCCTTTACGACACAATGCTTAGACAAGGTTTATCACTCCTTCAGAGAAATCGCAGTAAATTCTTACTACTAGGTATTTTGCCATTGCACTCAGATCCCGATGACAAAGTATCAAAGGAAACAAAAACATACAAATCATTTGTACAAAGACCACCCTCAAATGAAACCGGCTGGGAACGGGTGAAAGAAGTCTTCAAAGTGGAGTAAGTCAGACCACAAAACACATGATTTATAAATGAAAACATAAGAACATATAATACGATTATAATCTTTCAGTGAATTTGGCTCAATTTCACCTGAATTGAATTCGATCTATCAGGCTGGTTTCCTGGGTTTTTTGGTTGGTGGTATCTATGGCGGTATTATACAATCGCGAACGGCATATATGGACTTTATGGAAAATAATCAAGCTACTGCTTTTCAGTCTCACTTGGATGCCAAGGTATACGTTGTTCCGCTTAGAAAAATGTTTTAAGGTGTTCCAAAAAACTTATAAAATCAACATTATTGCAGAGAAAACTACAGGACAAGTTCACAATGAGTTTTGCCAGAGGAGGTCTAAAATGGGGCTGGCGCGTAGCATTATTTACCACATCCTATTAGTAAGTCAGTTTTGTTAGATTCAAACATCAATTTTATTAAATGTTGTGAATAATTACTGTCTATAGTGGCATGGTAACCTTGGTCTCCGTATACCGAGAAAAATCCTCAATCTATGAATATTTGGCAGCTGGAACAATATCAGGTGCTCTTTACAAACTAAACATGGGTTTAAGGGGTATGGCAGCTGGTGGCATAATTGGTGGATTTCTGGGAGGATTGGCAGGTGGAGCATCGCTGTTAATAATGTCGTTATCTGGTACTACTATGCAAGAGGTTCGTTATTGGCAATATAAATGGAGAACGGATAGAGATCAAGCAATCGCAGAAACCTATAAGGTAAACATATAAATAATATTATTTTTCAGTGTGGTTTTTAACTATTTTATTGTCTCTCAACAGTTGGCCGAAGAAGAGGATGAACCTACACCCGAACTTATGAAAGCCCACGACGCTAAAGTTGGAGAAAAAATAACATTAGAAACCATAAAGGTAAATAATTGTTTTATATAAAATTATCAAACTTTTAAATGGTCTTTTTTATTTATTTTTTTTAGCTGGAACCTGAACAGAATGAAACGAAACCCCAAGATCCAAAACCAGTTCATACAAAAGTTGCCGAACAGATTACAGCGAAAAAGTAGAAAACTCAATTTGTTATCTTTAGCTTGTTATTTTTGTAAATAAAGAAAATACCTATGATCGGTATGAAAACAATGTTTGAGTTTATATATTCATATTTGGGGAAGACTAAGGTTAATTTAATTTTTCTATTCAGGAGAAAAAAAAATGATAAAAAATATATATTTTTTGAGAATCATAAATAATGCTATACTAAAAAAACGTGAGTTTGGGTAAATGTTTGCACAAACCAGGCAAAGAATGTATTTATACCTTGCCATGCCCTCACAAATTTTTTTTATTTTTAAAATTTATACCATTTAAAACGCATTTTTTCTAATCTCTAAATATGGTTTATTGTTGACATGAACTGCAATTAATCGTATTATAATTTTAAAATTGACAACGATAAACACATACATATGTTCAGTAAAATTACAAACTGTATGTGTTTCTAAAGATCTTTTTATATGCTTCGTTTTAAATTTCTATGAATATGTAAAGTTTATTTGTTTTTATTTTAAAAGTAAAAGTTATTTCATGATATATATATTTAGAATACTACTTTAATATTGTGATTTCAATAGGAAATATAACTAAATTTTATCGACAATAAATGTCAAGTATATTTTTCATTTGAATAATAAATTTGTATAAAATAAATACTAATCTCAAAACATGTATATTTGTAAAACATCATCAAGTGAGTATGAAAATAATACAAAATTTTCATAGACAAAAAATAAGAGAATACAACAATAATGCACTTAGTAAAGAAGCAAAAGGATAATTTTCACATATTCTTCATACAAAGTATTTCGGCTAAGATGAGCATCATATAAAGTTAATACAAAAATATAAGGAAACAAATATCAGCAGTCTACTATGTTTCATTAAAATTTAATTCGATTCTTGACATATTACAACGACCACAACAAATTCACAAATTATTTATATAGAAAAATATCTCACAAACGGTCAAAGACACTAAATAAACTCAAAATCTTAAACGGGACAAAGTTTAAATTATAACACACATGGATTAAGACTGTTCTTGTGGTTTCGTTAAACGTCTAGCACCACGATTTGGTGGTCCTTTTGGTTTGGCAAAAGCCGGTCGGTGGAGCATTTTCTTTGGATGTAGTTCTTCTTGCAAAAATTCCTCCGTTAACTCAGAGCCAGAATCAATTTCAAGCTGTAGTAAACAAAATTTTGAAATTTGTATAAACTTCTTTTGACAATTATTATCCATAGAAATTACCTTTTTAGCCACATCTATACCGTACGACTGCAATGTTTCCAAGAAAGGTGCCTTACAGCTGGAATACATCATTCTTTCCCTCACCGAGCATGAATAGCCCGGCATGGAGTATACGAAGACATAGGATTCTAAATAATCACCCTCGTGGGTATGTTTAAACAAATACAAATGGTAACGAGCATGATCATCAGGTACATGCTTTGGAAGATCTGAAAGTGCCACTACACCAGCATGGGAGACATGTATCTGTTCCGCTTCCAAATCGATGCGGAATTGCAAATAATCATAGGAGCCTCTAAGCACATCTTGTATGGCTTGTTTAGCTGCTTCGGATAGGGGGCAGGATAGGCCACCCAACGTTTGGTGTCTACTTTCGGTGTTAATATCCGTATTAACTTCCACCCTGCGTAGTTCTGCCAACTCCTCTTCACGTGTTGTTAAAGGTGCTGGAGATGCAATTGCTCTTTTATGACGCTTATAACCCTCAAGGGTAGTCTCATCCTGGCTAGTGGCATGTATTTCCTCGGTAATATGAGCAGAACCAAATTCCTGTTTGAGCGTGGCTTTGGTGGAAGCATAAACCATTTTTTGGCGAATAGTGGCAGTGTCGGGCACCCAACTGATCAGCAACCAAGCTGGTCCTACCTGGGTCTTAGTATCCAAGCGATACAATATGTAGCATGGTACATTCTCCTCAATAAGAGGTGTAATAAGTTTGTCGAAATCTTTCTCCCAATCCTTTTTCACTTCCGCTGTATCGGTGACACATAGCTCTTCTGCAATTGGAAAATTGTTGATTATATGTACACATTTCTTTCATTTTTTGAACATTTCACAGCAGGTGGGCTTTCGTCCACATCATGTGCTTTTTTCATCCAGCAGCATTTTCTACTTACCATTTTCTATAGATACTTTTATGACACGAAATTTTCCACTTTTAGCTTTTCCAAAGACTTTCAGTGATTTTTCATTAGCTAAAAGGGGGAAAACAGAAAAATCATTTTCATATTTTGTTTACGTTCCACTTCCAATGGCAAAACTGTCGTCATACCTTTTATGCCCGTTTGATGAGACATGATCTATTTTTAACAAAAAATTATTATTCTAACTAAAATTATAATATAATATTTTCACTTCTTTTGGGAAATCGTCGTCGTACGGTATAAAATTTTGTGCTTTTTGGCGTAAATTGGATTGGGGGATATGTTATATTACTCACACTACACACACTCTCTCTCTTGGTTTAATGAAAAAAATACAAGAACAACAACATATTAATAACAATTTTTTGACTTTCCGATTAGTCGATTACTCGACTACTCGAATTGCAGTTATTAAATTAAGAAATGGAAATACGAACGTATGTTTAAAAAATAATATTAAAAAATTTGAGAAACTTAAATAAATAAGTTTGACACTAATCTTCTTTTCGTAAAAAATCTAGTAGATTATGTTTTAAGAGTTAATCTCATTGTTTTTGTAATCTAGATCTAAGATATATGAAACTAACAGAGCAGGTAGTAGATAATATTTTGCAATTCAAAGCTAAAATTAAGAAACTTAAGAATGATTTGTATCTAAATTTGATATCATTTTGGATAACTAAAGCATGTGAGTTATCAGTCGACTTCTTGAAGCTAGATTACACATAATGTTAAAGTCAAATAAAAAGTCACGCGTACTTCTAGACGCTCCCCTGAATTTGTAATGTCAATAGAAACGGTTTTTAGAATAATATACCTTCATAGAAATATAACGTTTATAATAAACTACAAGTGTATTTATAAGTATGTTTTAAAAAAAGTAATGATAAATGTGGTAAAAGAAAGTGTACATTTGACTGGTGCCTATAATATTCTTTATCATATCGATTTTATAGTGTAGCGTTACTTTAAGTATAAAAATCGTTAAGAGTTTCTACAGAGTGAGATGAAAAAACTGCAACCAACTTCAGACTGCTGTCATTTCTAAGCCACCCGTCCGCCCTTGTTAAAACTATTCCAGTGACAGCTCATTGTATTGTTTACAAGCGTACAAATGCATTTTGGTGAGAATTTTCCAGAAAAAAGTTATTCGTGATAGAACTCAGGCGTGGCAGTGTGATTTCTATATATTTGGCTCGAAAACCACATGTGGCTATCGTTAGAGCACTCCAGCATTAAAATGTCAATAAATCTTTTGTGTTTCGTACCATCGCTCGTTACCGTGATACTTGTAGCGTAGCCCGACGTCAAGGAAGTAGACGAAGAAAACAGCAACACCACCAGAAATGGTTCGAAAAGTAAATATGCGACGTGATCGAAACACGCGTAGCAGTGGCCAAAAATAGCTGAACATATCGCAATATTGCATTCGTCAAATATTGAAAAATGAGCTTGGGGTAAAGCCATTGAAATTCCAAAAAGGGCAAGAACTTACACCGAAAATGAGCTCGGGGTAAAGCCATTGAAATTCCAAAATGTGCAGGAACTTACACCGCAACAAAAAAATAAACACAAAAGAGCTAAAGAATTGCTTCGCCTGGCCGAAAGTGGTGAACTGCCGAATTTGGTTTTCTTCGATGAGAAAAGATTCGATAAAAATAATGGCGTTTGACTTTGTTGCAGTTTTTTATCTCAGCCTGTACATTATGCCACAAAAACGTACAATTAAAGGCTTGTCTACAAAGAGCAATAAAAATTGAATGAAATGGTCGAAACAGAGGACAGAAGTACCATCTTAACATAAGTGTGTTACATTATTCTGTATATTCATTGCATTTCACAGTAACTGACCGGTTGTCTCCGTACATGCCAGAACTATTTCCAAACTTCACAAACTATCTGAGAGTTCCTGAACCAGCAAATGATTACTATTGTTTCAATATCAGAAAAAACGGGTAACGTAATCAAATTTTTCGAATCATGCAGATTATTGAATAGAGCATTTATTTTCTTATTTTGCTTTTCTAATATTTTTGACTGTCTAATCGTAAGCTCATCCATATTTGGTTTTTGACATTTCTTTATATTAAGACGATCATACAAATACCCTGGTATTTACATATAACAATGTACAAAAACATAAAGGGACAAACATCTCTCTCCAATCAAACATTAACAATGTTTGCAAATTTGCAAAAATTATATTCAAAAATTTGCTTGGGCAAACAAGCCGTTTCCTTTAATGATAGGGTAAGTGCGCCTAAGTTCGGCATGTCCCAGTAGTCGGCAGTTTTGAAATTTAAACTTAAATAACTAAAAATGGAATTGACCAAATAATGAAATAATTGCAAAAAACGTCAACAGTGTTCTCTGCTCTCTTTCTGTAAAAAAAACAATGAGCCCCGATCATTTATTACGAGAGAATAACGGTTTTCGTCAGTGAGTGTCTTCCAACGCGTGCGATAGTGCTTGTTTGTAAAGAAAAAAAATAGTGGTGGCGTCAACTTAATAATCGATTTAAGTAAATTAAATTTAATACTTTTGGAATCAGAAATATTTTATAATAGTATATATTAGTAAATAACAGTCTAAAGATCATTTTATAATTTAAAAAACATATACAATCAAGCATTTTCTCTTATATTATTTAATGCCGACGAAAGAGATTTGCCAGTAGTCGGCAGGGGTGCCGATTACTAGAAAAATATCATTTTTGACCTATTTCACCAAAACTTAAGAAAAGTATTAAAAAAAATCCAAAAACTACACAAATAAAAAATAGTTTTGAGTCGGCAATTGCTTTTATTATTGCTTTTTGACCAACTTTTCTAAATTAAATATGTTTTTTTTTAAATCTGCTATTTGACGTTATAGATAGCGGTGGCATTTAAAAAAAATGTTGGTTGTATAAAGGAAAAAGATCAATTACAAAAATAAGAAAGGTACTTTTTTATTTAATCTCATTTTTATTTTAATTGAAAATCCATACTATTCTTGATTTTCTACCTATATTTGGTTTAGAATGATAATTAAATAAAACACTATTTAAAAACGAAATTAGTTAATTAAACTGTGAATTAATATTACAGCATTGTTTTATACTATTTGAAATAAAAAAAATACAAAATAATATTTTTTTAATGAAATAGCATATGCCGACTACTGGCAAATAGACATGCCGAGCATTGGAAAATTGCGCCGACTACTGGCAAAAAACTACTATTTTGGTAAAGTTGCAAATTTTGCCAATTTAATAAAAACAAATTCAATTGTTGTGTTTGTTTTCTCTTTCGAGACGAGCTTAATGATCTGAAATTTGCAGTGAAAAGGAAAGCCAGATAGACACTATCACACACTCACCACTATGCGACGCGTTTCGCCGTTGGTTAAGCGGCTCATCAGGCATATTTGGTGTGGATGATGGCTTACAAGGGCCGTTCTCTGGAAAGTAGTATATATTTCGAACTTATTGCAAATTAGCATATGCGAATTATACACTACAAACTCTCCAGGTTCGACTCAAGTTCTATTGGCAGATCTTTTTCACAGCAAAGTTTTGTTTTTGTAGTGATGGATTTTTTGTCCACAACAACTACATTGCTTCCAATGCATACACTTGTTTTAGTGCTGCTTTAGGAAGACGGGTTAATGGCTCTGAACGTAGAGATGGCAACTTCTAGTTGGCTGCACACCGAGGTCCGCGGTTCAAATCCCACAGCCAGGCTCGGCTGAATTTTTGAGTTTTGCCTTGTTAAGCCGAAGATCATATGTTTTATGATTTATGTGTTTGTTTTCTCTTTCGAGACGAGCTTAATGATCTGAAATTTGCAGTGAAAAGGAAAGCCAGATAGACACTATCACACACTCACCACTATGCGACGCGTTTCGCCGTTGGTTAAGCGGCTCATCAGGCATATTTGGTGTGGATGATGGCTTACAAAAAGATCTGCCAATAGAACTTGAGTCGAACCTGGAGAGTTTGTAGTGTATAATTCGCATATGCTAATTTGCAATAAGTTCGAAATATATACTACTTTCCAGAGAACGGCCCTTGTAAGCCATCATCCACACCAAATATGCCTGATGAGCCGCTTAACCAACGGCGAAACGCGTCGCATAGTGGTGAGTGTGTGATAGTGTCTATCTGGCTTTCCTTTTCACTGCAAATTTCAGATCATTAAGCTCGTCTCGAAAGAGAAAACAAACACATAAATCATAAAACATATGATCTTCGCCTTAACAAGGCAAAACTCAAATTCAATTGTTGTTTATTATTTCGAAACAAACAAAATAATGAATCTGTACAACTTTATTGAATGTCGAAAGATTGAAATATTGAAAAGCCTAAAAGTGCCGACTACTGGTACACTTACCCTTTAAATATTCAAAAAATATAAATTGAAGCCACTTCTAACCATACGTTGTAATAGTTAACGATATCAAAATTTATGTTAAATTTACGTATATATTAGCGGATTTATTTTCAATATTGTTAAAATTAATTACAGAAATAGATTGCAATGTTTAAGATAAATGTACTAAAAATCAAAAAATAATAAAAATAGATACAGTCGTGGGAATTATATGCATATGTTTATAATTCCCACGACTGTATCTATTTTTTATTATTTTTTGGTTTTTAGCACATTTATCTTAAACATTGCAATGTATGTTTAACATAGAACCTTTTAACTTAAAAAGTTTTTTTTTACCTATTTTTTATTTTCAAGTTTTTAGTTTTTATTTCACATTCTGTTTAACTCATTAACTACTTCATTATTTATTTTCAAGTTTTTAGTTTTTATTTCGCATTTGGAACCAGGCTGGATTAATCAGATACCAGAATTACAGATGCAGTTTCTAAATTTAAATCTTATTATACGTCATTTAGTGACTGCGCCATCTTAAATATTGAACTTGTATAGTATAATGTATTCTTCATGTCATGCCCTTTTTATTGATACCCATATTGGTGGAATTGATAAAAAATTGTTATCAGCCATTTGGTAGCGGCCGCCATCTTGGATTTCAATTTTTTATATTATATTGTATTCTGCTTTTTAAGCCCTTTCCTTTGATACCCATATTGATGGGATTGATAAAACCTACGTTATCCACCATTCGATAATGAATTAACATAATTGTATTGTCACCAAAATCCAAAGTGTATACCAAATTTCAGATTAATCGGTTGTCAGGAAGATGGTGAAATTTGAATTACTAAATTTGACCCAAGAATAAATAATAAAACAAACGGGGTGAGCTAAATAAAACCTTTTAATATAAAATAAACAGTTTTGGACGAAAATTTGAACAAACTAATACTTCTGTAATAAGTAATTATTAAAAAAGAAATTATAGATCTAGTATTCTTTTGAAGAAAAAATCGTTACAAGATTGTCCGACGAGTTGGCCAAACCGATGTCCTGAAAAGATAAATTAATAATATATATATATATATATATATATATATATATATATATATATATATATATATATATATATATATATATATATATATATATATATATATATATATATATATATATATATATATATATATATATATATATATATATTATTGAGAAAAATATATTTTAAACCAACATTTAGAATCAATGCAGTCGATCATTCTGTGCTTTAGATAAAAGGAAATGTTTTCGCTTCCACAATACATTTCGTTGATTGTTTTCTGTGTGATTTACATACCTTAAGAATATTTTCATCGAAAGGTGCATTTAAATGTTGCCAGTTGCAAAAATGTGTTGCGTAAGAACTATTTCCGGAGTTTTCATTGCAATTACATTCGATTTGTGTATGTACATAACAATATGTATCATCGAAATCAACAGAATATAAATTTATTATTTCTTCCAAAGTTATTGAAGGAAGAATATAACTCTCCTCGAGACTAAAAGCCGTTATTAAGTAAAAAACATTTAGTTCATGTAAATCGTCTCTATTTTTCAAAGCCTCCATGGTTTCGGCAACATTCTCAAACACAATAATTGTTTCTTTTTGTATATTATCTGCTCCACAAATGAGTAAATTTCTAACGTTTGGTATTAGCAATACCTTAGATGGTTCTTGTTCTGTTGCTGAAGACAAGTAATTTTTCAGGCTATCCGCTGCATCATTTTCACTTAGGCGCAAACATTTTAGATTCATAAAATCACACAAACCATGGATCATGTTTATAGTGTTTGTATTTTTAGCAATAACTATAAACTTCCCCTTAACCTTGGCACCAGAATATGTTTGCATATAGTATTGCAGAAATTCAAGCTTTCCTGAGTCAAAAGGTCCCATATCTGACCAGACGGGCAATACCGATGAAAGATATTTTATGAGATCATTAGTGCTGGAAATGTGCTTAATAAATGATGGATGATTGCAGATTTGTTGCAAAATATTCGAAATATTAAGCGCCCGAAGGATATCGGTTTCAAAGTTATCTTTATTTTCATTACAGTATTCACAAATTTGCTGAAATAAATATTGTTGTAACTCTGAAGGCCTAACAAAACAAATTCTGTTTCGCAACTTATATGACTTATTTTGTGTTGAAGATGACGATGAGCTTACTCCATTTTTAAATTCAGCATGATTGTTATGACAAAGAGAACTTGGATTTGTGCCCCATTTATCTGTGGGATTTAAGTTTCGCAGCTGCTTTCGGAATGTTTCCAACGATTTCAGGTCCTTTGGCGGCTTTAATGCCGCTATAGGCCTAAAATAAAATCCTCCTTTAGGCTTTTTCTGTTCTTCAGCTTGTTGTTCCGGCGACACATATTCTTCTGAACCCCAATTGCGACTGGTTACTTGTTTTTTACGAAGTACGAATATTTCATCCTCATTTTTAATTTCAGTTTGTATTTGAATTTCTTTTCCACCAATTACCATTTCATATTCTTCTATTAAGTCGGATAATTTGAATCTAGTGCTACAACCCATATACTTGCCCAACTCATCTTTGAGAACAGCTTTCAAAGAGCAAGTGTTAACTTCCAATGTACCATCTCCTTTCCATGTCTTATGTTTCTTTGTGGTGACATCTCGCCACACCACATTAAATATTCGCCAGTTAGTTCTGCCCATATCATTGGCAGCTGATGTATTGCCCCTGGAACCCCAATTTAGGGAAACTTCATCTTCTGGGTCGGAATTTTCATGAATGTTGCTGCCCTGGTCACAGAAACGTTTGGTCTTATTTAGCATGGATGGTGCTTTAGAACGCCTCATTTTTCGACTTTTTTTAATTGTTATATTGAAAACCCGGCTAACTTCTGTCTGTCGACCCAAATAAGTCAAGTAATCGATTTATTGAGACTTATTTCATTTCGATAACAAAATATGTACAGTGAATGATTAGTTTAATATAGAACTATTATTTGCTCTGTTCCACAACCTGCGAGAATGTACTAGTTTTGCGAATCGCTAATCGTTTATCGTAATAAAAGTTTTACATTCTTGCAGTTCTGGTACAGAGCATTTGTCTTAAAGTGTGGGTACATAAGCAGCTTGGCATATTTTGTGACACATTATAAAGGCTTGCTCCCGGACTTAACAGTTAAATAGAAATTTTGGCTACAAAAATGTAAATGTAATTGGAAAATATTAAAGTTGAGTGAATTTAGAAAAGTAACAGTTTTTACAACCTTTTTATTTTGTAGATTCTAAGATATAGACATGGTGTATTAGTATGGGTGTACCATGGTTAAACTAAGAATGTAAAGTCACTTCATTTTCTGTAATTTACCTTGTCAAATTTCACTGCATAGAAAGCAGTTTCGCTTCTTTGATTTTTGTATGTACAATGAATTCATAAATATATATTTTGACAAAGTCTGCATGACATAACCTTCTTAATTCTACAAGGGGCTGTATTAAATATTTTACCACAGTAGGGAAGTTGCATGGTACAATAAAAAGGTATGGTAGAACTACCAGCTGATTACAATTTTTTTTCTTAAAGAGCCCGACTTCTGCCAATTTTTTGTATGTATTTATTGTTTTGAAAAATGAAAACAAAATATTTTCAAAACCAATGATTGAAAAACACGTACATTGCGGTTCGCGCATAAAAGCTATGAACCATTTTGGCCATTAAATTGAAAGATTAAACAGTTTGGATCGAATTTTTGAGGGACAACCCATTTTAAAAAATCATTTAAAAAATTAAAACAACTTGCTGTATATAAATTTGAACGAGTCTGACAGGAAGCGGGCATAGCATCAGGGCTGTATTTCTGTAGTTTTACGAAGCTGCTCTACCTCCTTATTGTACCATGGGAAGTTGAATATTTGTATAAGCTAAGTCGAATTTTAGGTAACACTGCCATATAATATTTTAACTGTACACTTTCATATTTTTATTATTGTTTGATTTTATTACAGTTAGCAGCAAACCCCAGCTTATTTGATTCTATAGTAATGCTAATATTAAATTCGACGTTTTGTGACTTAATTCCATTTTTGGCATACACTTTTTTATACAAAATTTCACTTTTTGATAGAATTACACTTTTTTTGAGCATTTTTATCCTAATAATAGAAAAAAAGAACGTTGTATTACTCTACAAAACACCAACAGCTATGGTGCTTCTGGGTTGGCGGCCCCTGGTCGGAGATTTGTACCTCCGAGTCAATCCGGTGCATAGAACCGGCCGGCGTGGGATTCCCATGACACCTGTCGATCACCTACATAAGGAGGCGAAGGTCTTACCGGTGCGACAGCATAACAAAATGCTGTCAATGCAATACCAGGTTGGGTGTTGTAGACAAAGCCATCCGAATCACTATCCTGTGGATAGGCAACCTCCGCCCATGCACGTTAGGAAAGACCTTCATGATCCTCTAGATCTACCAGCCCATTAAGCGGGACTGAATAGTATTCACTCTAATGCGGTCTCAGAAGCCATTGATGGATATAGAGTGAATACTGTGATAGGAGACCATCCCCTCCCGTCGCAGGTAAAGAACGAGAGCTGCCCGGACAAACCCTAGTAGTTTTGGCTCAATTACGATCCGGATGGTGCAGCCGCCTAAATTCCTATTTGGCCCGGATTAACAGCGAAGTGTAGAACATCTGCCCAGCTTGTGGCACAGGCCACATGACACGCTGCACCTATTTCGCTGCCAAGCATACTCACCTAACTTCAGTCTCGTTATGGACACAACCCATACATGTTTCATCCTTTTTGAGACTGGACTTAGAGGCAGAACCTGATTGAATGGAATCAGAAAAATGAAAAACGAACACAGATGTAAGAGCTGCTACAAAACAACAACTTCTATTTTTTTTGCTATGGTTCAGTTTGTTTGTCTTTAAAAATGTCTAAATTAATAGTTATGTGGACCTGTCCCGTATTTAACAATGCCAACATAATTCAAGTACTTTAGCAACCATAAAATTCTTAGAAGTGTCAATTTTGCAGACTGGTTCCGCGTTCATTTAATGAGTGCTCCCAGCTGATTGCGTTTTGCTCATGTCTTTTTCGTAAACAACAGAGGTATTCGGTGTTTTACTTTCACTTTATTTTTTATCGGCATTCTTTTTTGCCTTTCTTATTTGTTTCGTTGGGGACGTCTTTCATTTTGGTATCCCAAATTTGCACCGCCTATCGTCTCCACAGAGGGGAGCGTTGCAAATTTCTAAGTTCTTACAAGCAATCGGTTCCATCCAATAATCCATATCCACCATGTCATTTCATTGGTGCGATAATCTGCATACAGCAGTTTTTAGTCCTCGTGACTATCAAGTTGAACTTTTAGCTGCTGCATTTGAGCGCAACACCATGATATGTTTGGGCCATAAATCGTCCAAGGAATTCATTGCGTTAAAACTGTTGCAAGAATTGGGACATAAGCAACGACTGCTAGATAACAAAATTGCTATTTATCTTAGTACGAGCAAGGCGCCGGCAATGTTTACAATGTTGCAACACTTAACAGATTTGAGGGTATGCCAGGAGCCAAGCACTACTTTTGATGATCTGCCTCGGGGGTTTAATGTTTACATTTTGCAACCGAAAACATGTCTACATTTGATGCGCGAGGGTGTTCTCAAGATGGAAAAAGTATATTTGCTGGTATTGGATGATTGTCATCAGGATACATTATTTGCAGACATGCGAGAAATATTTAGTAGTTTTTATAAAATCGAAGACCTACAAGATATGCCAAAAGTGTTGGGTCTAGCTGGTCCTTTGCATAGTGCGGGTTGTGACTTAGCTGAACTGTCTGCAATGCTTAATGGCCTAGAAAAGACCGTCAAATGTCGAACGGAAACAGCAAGCGACATTGTCACAGTTTTAAGGTAAATAACTCTAGATTCTTTTAGCATTTGTCTTAAAGTGTGGGTACATAAGCAGCTTGGCATATTTTGTGACACATTATAAAGGCTTGCTCCCGGACTTAACAGTTAAATAGAAATTTTGGCTACAAAAATGTAAATGTAATTGGAAAATATTAAAGTTGAGTGAATTTAGAAAAGTAACAGTTTTTACAACCTTTTTATTTTGTAGATTCTAAGATATAGACATGGTGTATTAGTATGGGTGTACCATGGTTAAACTAAGAATGTAAAGTCACTTCATTTTCTGTAATTTACCTTGTCAAATTTCACTGCATAGAAAGCAGTTTCGCTTCTTTGATTTTTGTATGTACAATGAATTCATAAATATATATTTTGACAAAGTCTGCATGACATAACCTTCTTAATTCTACAAGGGGCTGTATTAAATATTTTACCACAGTAGGGAAGTTGCATGGTACAATAAAAAGGTATGGTAGAACTACCAGCTGATTACAATTTTTTTTCTTAAAGAGCCCGACTTCTGCCAATTTTTTGTATGTATTTATTGTTTTGAAAAATGAAAACAAAATATTTTCAAAACCAATGATTGAAAAACACGTACATTGCGGTTCGCGCATAAAAGCTATGAACCATTTTGGCCATTAAATTGAAAGATTAAACAGTTTGGATCGAATTTTTGAGGGACAACCCATTTTAAAAAATCATTTAAAAAATTAAAACAACTTGCTGTATATAAATTTGAACGAGTCTGACAGGAAGCGGGCATAGCATCAGGGCTGTATTTCTGTAGTTTTACGAAGCTGCTCTACCTCCTTATTGTACCATGGGAAGTTGAATATTTGTATAAGCTAAGTCGAATTTTAGGTAACACTGCCATATAATATTTTAACTGTACACTTTCATATTTTTATTATTGTTTGATTTTATTACAGTTAGCAGCAAACCCCAGCTTATTTGATTCTATAGTAATGCTAATATTAAATTCGACGTTTTGTGACTTAATTCCATTTTTGGCATACACTTTTTTATACAAAATTTCACTTTTTGATAGAATTACACTTTTTTTGAGCATTTTTATCCTAATAATAGAAAAAAAGAACGTTGTATTACTCTACAAAACACCAACAGCTATGGTGCTTCTGGGTTGGCGGCCCCTGGTCGGAGATTTGTACCTCCGAGTCAATCCGGTGCATAGAACCGGCCGGCGTGGGATTCCCATGACACCTGTCGATCACCTACATAAGGAGGCGAAGGTCTTACCGGTGCGACAGCATAACAAAATGCTGTCAATGCAATACCAGGTTGGGTGTTGTAGACAAAGCCATCCGAATCACTATCCTGTGGATAGGCAACCTCCGCCCATGCACGTTAGGAAAGACCTTCATGATCCTCTAGATCTACCAGCCCATTAAGCGGGACTGAATAGTATTCACTCTAATGCGGTCTCAGAAGCCATTGATGGATATAGAGTGAATACTGTGATAGGAGACCATCCCCTCCCGTCGCAGGTAAAGAACGAGAGCTGCCCGGACAAACCCTAGTAGTTTTGGCTCAATTACGATCCGGATGGTGCAGCCGCCTAAATTCCTATTTGGCCCGGATTAACAGCGAAGTGTAGAACATCTGCCCAGCTTGTGGCACAGGCCACATGACACGCTGCACCTATTTCGCTGCCAAGCATACTCACCTAACTTCAGTCTCGTTATGGACACAACCCATACATGTTTCATCCTTTTTGAGACTGGACTTAGAGGCAGAACCTGATTGAATGGAATCAGAAAAATGAAAAACGAACACAGATGTAAGAGCTGCTACAAAACAACAACTTCTATTTTTTTGCTATGGTTCAGTTTGTTTGTCTTTAAAAATGTCTAAATTAATAGTTATGTGGACCTGTCCCGTATTTAACAATGCCAACATAATTCAAGTACTTTAGCAACCATAAAATTCTTAGAAGTGTCAATTTTGCAGACTGGTTCCGCGTTCATTTAATGAGTGCTCCCAGCTGATTGCGTTTTGCTCATGTCTTTTTCGTAAACAACAGAGGTATTCGGTGTTTTACTTTCACTTTATTTTTTATCGGCATTCTTTTTTGCCTTTCTTATTTGTTTCGTTGGGGACGTCTTTCATTTTGGTATCCCAAATTTGCACCGCCTATCGTCTCCACAGAGGGGAGCGTTGCAAATTTCTAAGTTCTTACAAGCAATCGGTTCCATCCAATAATCCATATCCACCATGTCATTTCATTGGTGCGATAATCTGCATACAGCAGTTTTTAGTCCTCGTGACTATCAAGTTGAACTTTTAGCTGCTGCATTTGAGCGCAACACCATGATATGTTTGGGCCATAAATCGTCCAAGGAATTCATTGCGTTAAAACTGTTGCAAGAATTGGGACATAAGCAACGACTGCTAGATAACAAAATTGCTATTTATCTTAGTACGAGCAAGGCGCCGGCAATGTTTACAATGTTGCAACACTTAACAGATTTGAGGGTATGCCAGGAGCCAAGCACTACTTTTGATGATCTGCCTCGGGGGTTTAATGTTTACATTTTGCAACCGAAAACATGTCTACATTTGATGCGCGAGGGTGTTCTCAAGATGGAAAAAGTATATTTGCTGGTATTGGATGATTGTCATCAGGATACATTATTTGCAGACATGCGAGAAATATTTAGTAGTTTTTATAAAATCGAAGACCTACAAGATATGCCAAAAGTGTTGGGTCTAGCTGGTCCTTTGCATAGTGCGGGTTGTGACTTAGCTGAACTGTCTGCAATGCTTAATGGCCTAGAAAAGACCGTCAAATGTCGAACGGAAACAGCAAGCGACATTGTCACAGTTTTAAGGTAAATAACTCTAGATTCTTTTAGCATTTGTCTTAAAGTGTGGGTACATAAGCAGCTTGGCATATTTTGTGACACATTATAAAGGCTTGCTCCCGGACTTAACAGTTAAATAGAAATTTTGGCTACAAAAATGTAAATGTAATTGGAAAATATTAAAGTTGAGTGAATTTAGAAAAGTAACAGTTTTTACAACCTTTTTATTTTGTAGATTCTAAGATATAGACATGGTGTATTAGTATGGGTGTACCATGGTTAAACTAAGAATGTAAAGTCACTTCATTTTCTGTAATTTACCTTGTCAAATTTCACTGCATAGAAAGCAGTTTCGCTTCTTTGATTTTTGTATGTACAATGAATTCATAAATATATATTTTGACAAAGTCTGCATGACATAACCTTCTTAATTCTACAAGGGGCTGTATTAAATATTTTACCACAGTAGGGAAGTTGCATGGTACAATAAAAAGGTATGGTAGAACTACCAGCTGATTACAATTTTTTTTCTTAAAGAGCCCGACTTCTGCCAATTTTTTGTATGTATTTATTGTTTTGAAAAATGAAAACAAAATATTTTCAAAACCAATGATTGAAAAACACGTACATTGCGGTTCGCGCATAAAAGCTATGAACCATTTTGGCCATTAAATTGAAAGATTAAACAGTTTGGATCGAATTTTTGAGGGACAACCCATTTTAAAAAATCATTTAAAAAATTAAAACAACTTGCTGTATATAAATTTGAACGAGTCTGACAGGAAGCGGGCATAGCATCAGGGCTGTATTTCTGTAGTTTTACGAAGCTGCTCTACCTCCTTATTGTACCATGGGAAGTTGAATATTTGTATAAGCTAAGTCGAATTTTAGGTAACACTGCCATATAATATTTTAACTGTACACTTTCATATTTTTATTATTGTTTGATTTTATTACAGTTAGCAGCAAACCCCAGCTTATTTGATTCTATAGTAATGCTAATATTAAATTCGACGTTTTGTGACTTAATTCCATTTTTGGCATACACTTTTTTATACAAAATTTCACTTTTTGATAGAATTACACTTTTTTTGAGCATTTTTATCCTAATAATAGAAAAAAAGAACGTTGTATTACTCTACAAAACACCAACAGCTATGGTGCTTCTGGGTTGGCGGCCCCTGGTCGGAGATTTGTACCTCCGAGTCAATCCGGTGCATAGAACCGGCCGGCGTGGGATTCCCATGACACCTGTCGATCACCTACATAAGGAGGCGAAGGTCTTACCGGTGCGACAGCATAACAAAATGCTGTCAATGCAATACCAGGTTG